TACTTGTTGAATGATGTCATTTAAATTATTGTATTATGACTTAATAAAATCCTGAGTTTCTCTAAAATATCATTTGATACTTTATACATCACTATAGGTCGTGTGTAATATTATAATATTTGTAATTTAGTAGTCATGAATTAGAAAGAAACATTGTTAATTAGACAAAATGTATTTATGAATGAAAATTAATATGTTATATTTATTTGAAATTAGATTTTGTTTCATTGGTTTCTCCAGTCTGTTCAAATCGAAASGTAACAAAAAAACTCGAACTTTGATTTCTTTACTCGGACAAAATATTATTTTCTATTTGCTCGTTACAACAGATAGTATACAATTTATTATTTTGCATACGATAAGTGCATAAACAAGAATAAATAGCAATATGGGAAAACACACTTTAGTCTAATTTTACATCCGTTATATTTAACTGTAATTGTAATCCAATATTATATTATAATTTTTTCAATAATGTATTCAGACTGCGCGACGATTTAAATAGGTACCAAATTTTTTTTCTTAAATATCACACATTATTATTAAGATAGATAATATTATTGAGGATTCCATAATATGAGGTATAAAAGTAGTACTCATTGTTATTATATACTATATTATAGTGGTATGTATTATATATTAGTTATAATATCATCAAATTTGAGGGTGGTTAATGCTYAACAATAACAATAATTCTCGAGTGCACCATAGGACCTAATTGATATTATCCGATTATCATTAACTGGACTTAGTTATTCTAGAATAGATACAGTTATTTTTATCCTTTGCTAATTAGAACATCGCGGCAATATGCCAATTAGGATATTTAATGTACGCATCGATAATATACCAATTTCGAAGGCGAAAGGTTTTGTGAAAACTATGGCTGTATATATATATATATTTTTTAGCTTTTCCTGAAAATTAAACCTTAGTAATTGGATTACCCCCACGAGCGATGACTTTAATTTTCGTAATTATTCGACGTATACGGCCGCCGCGCACGTTACGATATTAATTCAAATTCTAATTTTTGGTGACGGCTGTAACAACGAAAAATCGACATATTTGTACTTTGCGCATACCCCTTGGGAGTGATTAGTATATTGTATTTGGAGAACGATCCTCTGTCGATCAATAAGTCTGTAATATTATGCATTTATATTTATTATATTGTACGTGACTTTAGCTTTAATAGAATTACACACTTGTACACTTGTACTCGAGAGTACTTGACAGTTTTTTTTTAATGTACTTTAATAGTATTGCATAATTCCTTATAAAATATAAGTTTAGTTATTCAAACACTTATAAGAGTGATAGATTATCGCGTATGCTTGATCATAATATGATGGACACTACGCATTACACACGACCAACGACCAAAAATTAAATSTATTACTATTTTATTATTATTTATCGTACGCATCTATATATTTGTAATTATTAGCTATTATATAAATTTTAATATCTTGTGGAGTTTATTCTTGACGGCGAAACACAGTCAGACAAGAAAAATAAATTGAAGTGCTTACCGTTTTGTTATCCAAATTCTTGACTTTGCATGTCAAATACGCAGATTTTCCCTCCAGCGCCGTCACGTTCCTGGGTGTTTCCGGGTCGAATTGCGGCCCAGAGTATTGGTTTGCGTCYGGTTTCACGGCATTGACGTCACGCCCGCCGCCACCAGCACCGTTCTTGTCGCTGCCCCCGTGACTTTGGTACGAACACCCTGTGGACACAAATAATGGTATATGATTATTATATTTCCGTCTGTTGGGTAAACGAAACCAATTTTATCCCATCGACGCGGTCCTGGGGTGGAGGGGCCGTTCGGTGCGCGGAGCGCTTCGGTGTGACTCAGGTCAGGCAGGGGCCTGCCTCAAATCCCYACAGGATTGACTCGATCCTCCCCGAAACCATAATCAATCCCCTCTGTTGCCACATAAACATTGTATTTCGCTTTATTATTATTTATTTTGGTGTTTTCAAGAGGTTTGAAAGTTTGTTATCTTCTCGTTGGTTTTTATTTTTATCTTATACATACTTTATACCATGTAACATAGAAACATTGTAAATTGTTTTTTAGTAATAACTTTATACGACATACACAAGCTTGGAACTATAAAGCATCATATCCTGATTTTTGATGATTGTGTTTTCCCTACTCCCGTCTTAACCGGAATCATGCAAATTTCGAAATTGTTTTAACCTCGACTTACTTTATTATTTCAATGCCTACACTGGAAATGTATATTAATTATTTATTTTATTAAAATAAACTCTCAACTACAGTGGTAATTGGGCGATATTAGCAAGATTATAATTACGTATAGTCAACATGACAGAGTTGTAATTATACAAAGCTAATAATTATAGAATACAGACAATATGTTACGGAGGAGATTTATAATATGAGTATTACGTTCTTAGGTAGACTGGTGACTTCTAATTAAGGATCAAAAAGAGTTAGGATTCTGATATAGTTATGAAGTACGGGTGATTTCGAGAGCATAGATAAAATTGTCTCTGTTCTGTACGTATTCAGTGAAAATATGTAAMTAAATTAAATGGCCAATAAACGTAGAATATAGGTAATAGGTATATCATGATAGTTATGAACTATTCCAGTGGTAATATTCACTCGTTTCTTTATGGTGGCCTAGGATGAGAAGTAAACTAGAAAATAGGATGGATTTGTCGCCAAAAAACTGAAACTATCCATTTCCAAAACAATCAACAACGACGATTCAAAAATAAAAGTATGTCCGGGTGCCCCGACAGTCAAGGTTCCGATCACTCAACCTCCGCCCAAAAACAAATCATATGCTAAATCAACGAAAAACGAAGAAAAACTTCCTTTCACCAATATTTCCAATATCCTATCTAATTTCATTTCCAATCTTAATTCCATTATCAGCCCTCTAATCTCGCTTCTCACAACTACTTTTAATTCTTTCCTTGCTAAATCAACATAACACCGTATTTATGGTATATATATAT